AATTCGTCTTTGCCGGCTTTCGTTTTGCATTGAACTAACCTTACGTATACTTAAATTAAGTCCAATCGGCAGTATCGTCTATTTAAGTATAGTATTCCTTATCTGGCACCCGGACTCCGACGTGAACATCATTACATATGCATTACATCTGCATTAGAATATATTAGAGTCTCGTACTATCCTAGAGGCCTTTTCTTTCGGGACAAAATTCCGTGGAAAAGGTGGGTGAATTCCACAGGTAAATACTGGTCTGAATTACGATTCATCACAGGAAATATATCAATGATCTCTCTAGGGCTTTAAGAGGCAAGGAGCACTGCACAAGATGTGGCCAGGCCAGAAAGGAGCCCAATGTGCTAAATAGTTTATGACTAAAGTAGTGCGATAAACACGTTACGTCATATTAAGACTTTAAGAAATCTAAAATATATATGCCTGAGATATGAGTCAAAATAATGAATACAAGATATCACTGATAGATACACACTAGATAAAAAACAAGAGCCGTGGTGATTGATCATGGTTCAGTTCATAGGATTCGGCAGTTAATTATTATATTATATATAGTGTAGATATAAGTCGTGGAGACAACGAGGACCGCTGGCGCAACGGTAGCGCGTTCGACTCCAGATCGAAAGGTTATCCGTTCAAATCGGGTGTGGTTCAAAGCCTGCGACCGATAGTTTTGGGGTTTCGGCAAAATTACCTTCCTGTTAAAGAAAGTACTCGAGTTTCCATCGGGACGAAAATGAGTGAATCATCACTTCAAAATATGCTTCAAGCCCTAAAATTTTTACATTACTGTGTCCAAATTAGTCTACAACTAAGCAAGGACATGTAGGTCCTATCTGCCTACAGTCTAGGAGTATCTATGACTCGGGTAGTGTACTCCCTCCTATTAACCCTTCACGGCGGTGGGCAAGACTGAACACCTGTGCGCGGTGTCCTCTGCGAACCTAGGAGTGAAATATTCTCCCAGAGCCGAACTCAGTCAAACTTCGCAATACCGAACAAGTTGGCCCACGAGGCAATGATTCAAAATACTACTCCATATCAATCTTTCACTCCCAACGAAATCAATTCCTACCCAAGCCTCATCAAGTTTACAAGTACGACCTAGTACATCCTCATTCCAATGACCACTCCTCTTTTCGACTTTCTCTGGCCTTAGCTGGTCGCCAGATACACGCCCACGCCGATATTTACACCCGACGGAGGAAGCAAAGCGTGGCGCACAAATCTGGAAGACAATTCCTTGGGATGGATGTGAGAGGGATCAGGACAAGTTGATAAGATGATGCAGAGGATTGGTTACAGTCTCGACGGGCGTGAAATTTTGAGTTTTGGAAAGTAGTTTCTACAAATTGAGCTTTGTGCGTGCCAAGTCTTCTGTTGCGAGAGTGCAGGCGACACTATAACCATGGCCATGGTTGAATGGTGCAGTGGTACATCGTCTTAGCCGGTCTGCCAAGTAGAGTCTGGATAGCTTGGACACATATTCCACTTGAGACAGTAGATCGCTGGTTCAAATCCAGCAAAACACAACTGCATTTCTCGCGGCGCTAGTATGCATGGATGACGAAGGCATGCTTGGATAACCAAAGGTTTTTAATTTCCCTTTGGTGGGTACTAACGGAGGAGGGTCGACTGTTTGTGTAAGCGAACATACCTCATAGTGGTATTTGCGAATGAAATCCAGAGTACGAGGGTCTCTAACTTAAAAAGAGTCATCCATCATGTATACATAACACCGTTCATGTGTCATAGCTAGATAGCTGAATACACATTAAATGACTCAAAAAAAAAGAAAACTCCTTCACGGCTTCTTTCCAGGGGAACTATCCTCAACACCTGTCAGTGGTGTCCCCTACGAACCTCTAGCTCTCGCTGTAGAGTCTGCAGAGCCGAGATTGAGTAACACCTTTATAACTTTGAGCTGAATTATCTCCCCCTCCGTCAAAGATACGCTTCCGATAATACATAAGACGACGAAGACGATGATAATGATGCTAGGAATGAAGAAATATAATGCAGCACCAAACGCTGCAGCGGTAGTCAGAGAAGCCCTCGTCATATCTCAACATGTGCTGCCCACCGGCGGGCAAACAAAAAGCCCACGAAAGCAAAGTAAAAGACCCTTCCGCCCTCAAGAAAAGCAGATTTCGACTCGTCTACATTATCGTCCCTACTAATCTATACCTCCGAATCTACTAGCCAGGAGGGCATCTGAAATACATGAGTTACTCGATAACCCCACGTCCGTAACGACTTTTGGATGCTAGGTTAGGCTCCTTCAAGACAGTCACTCTCGACCAAGACTTTTCTGACATCCTTTTACGACCTTCGATTTGTCCTGCGGCATGAATCAAGGGAGGTGTAAGGAGGAGGCTAGGAAAGTTGAGAGACACTCTTAGGTATACACAGGTCTGCTGCGCCCGGCTGGCCGGCCTCTTCGTCATAGGAGAGCCCCGCACCCAGTGGTATTTGAGACTTTTCCCTGCAGCTACACAACCGCAAATGGCCATTGTTCCATTGGCTGGAGAGGGGAGATAATGACGGGATAACGGCTCCTCTTAGTGTGTACTCGAATGAAGACCTGTGGGGGTATTACTGCTGGAAAGAAGTCGTGAAGGAGGCATAGGAGGGAGTATACCACCCGAGGCATAGATACTCCCGGCCTGTAGGCAGAAGGGACCTACATGTCCTTTCATATTTATAAACTCATTAGGATAATAAAAATTCACTCAATCACTAGATTTTATTATTACGGAATATATTTTATATAGCACTCTGTGTCCTAGTTGGGATAATTAACAACTCCACGATAGATTTACACACTACTCTACATTCCCGCTCGCTTCACCAAGTGATATAATCCGTGCCTAACAGCCATAAGCTTTAACAAACCTTTCCGCTCAACAAACCACATATCTCGCGTTGCTCGTATGTATGGATCACGAAGGCATGCTTGGATAATCAAAGGTTTTGAAATGGCCCTTTAGCACTCACGGAGAAGGGTCGAATGCTTGTGTAAGCAAGCATATCCCGTAGTGGTGTTTCCGAATGAAATCTTGTTAAGATTAAGGTATGGGTAGGTATGAGATGTTGAATATTCTAAGGATAGTGCAGAGGGTAGATAACGATTATCAGAGCTCGACGATATGATGAATAGCTTAGTTATATTCATCCACATATCACAGTAGTAGATAAGACTTATATACACATATTTGGTACCAGCTATACAGTACAGTCTCATATGGATGGCAAAAGTACAATTGTCAAAATGACTGGGGTTAGATCCCTGTACACATTGCCTTGATTAGTATAGTCTTCATGCAGGCCCATGTCTAGTTCGTCGACTAGTTTAACAAGCAGGGGTACTATCCAATGATATTCCGTGAAAGTCTAAATTAATGGGGACGGTTTTCAACACCAAAACAAAAGTACAATAGTCCACATTTAGAATTAAAAATCAAAAAAATCAATTGATATTCTCTAAAAATGCACATCTATTTCAAGAATAATTGCTCTGTGTTACAAAACTATACATCGAAGCCCTCAGTATGGCTCACAACTAAATTGAAAGCGTACTTCGTGTTTTGTATTATTCTGCTCTATGTTAATACTTTGTGTACCCTTCGTTTTCCTTTATCACTGTTACACATCTTTCGTGCATGTTAACCAAACTTAACAGAGGCATTTTCCGAGCAATGCGTCTGCTGTAATCTTTTTTTTGAGTGCATTAGAAATTAAACCCTCACTGCATCCCCAGTGGCTGAAAGGTCCCATTGCTAGTTCCAAATAGCACGTCTGTCGATTTTCAGAAGATTCCCGGACAAGAGCCTCAAGCTCATCAACTTGTTCCGCGCTTAATTTAGGTGAGCATCCTTTGCAACGCATAGGAGTCTCAGTTTCTTGAGCACTCGCAAGTTGCACTTGCCTTCTTGTGAAGCCAAGTTCGTCGGATATATGTTGTAATGTCCAGCCAAGTCTTCTTAATGTTCTTATTTCAATACATTGATCGCGAGTTAGATGCTTGCGAACTTTAGTTTCTGAAGCAGAATTTTGACGAGACATTGTTTGCTAGAAGTAAGGATGAATTGATAGTGATGTTAAGAGTTAGAGGCGATGTTGGTTGGGCAGTCAAAAATGTCGTTGAAAATGTGTTTCTCTAAGCGATTGTTAGAAGAACACGATTGGACCATATTTCATGGCAAGCGGGGTGATAAGGAGAGACAGCCTAACATATTGCTAGCTAGCCTAATTGCACCTACAGGGCTAATCCCTCAAACAACCCAGTTTCAAGCCTAACATTTTGTAACCTAGGGGCACTGTAACACCGGGTAAAACCCATAACAATCACAATACTTCGAGAATTGGAGGCAATTGAGCCTCGGCCAAAGACTAAGCTTATACGCGTCTAGAAAAGATCATGTCATTGTTAGCTTCGAGAAATACAGATTTTAGAAGGTTTATGGCTTGGATGTATTCAGACATCAGACTCCCCGGGCTATCATCGACGGTTGCGGAACGTGTAGGAGAATTGAAAATATTTTTGTCCTCAAGATGAGCTGGGAAAAAATAGGTTCAAATAGGCATGAGATTCCATGGATTTCAGACCAAATCATTCGTGCTGTGTCTAATTATTCCCTCGAAAGAATAGATCCATGAAATAAAGTGAGCGGGTCGCTTATGGATTATGTTATAATATTTATAATTATCTTCGCAATGAAATACCATGAGGCTTAGATGAAGATATCTAAAGAATATATAGAGTTGAGGGGTCGCCAGTAAAGAAGGGATTGGTCCTACATTATCAGTAAGGCACTCGAGATGCAGACATTTCATAGACCTTCTCAGGATAAAGATAGCTAATACGTGATCCACAGGAAGCACACTTTAAACCAGTCCGGTGCTAGAAAAGTCGGTAATCAAGGCGTAGATTATTAGATAGAATAAATACTGCTGTACTATTTGAACTGTAGAACACTGCCTCTGAGCTATGTAATTACCTCTTTTGCTACCTCAAGTACTCTACCTTTCTCTAAGACAACGATAGCATCAGCGTTTTTCACAGCTTCCACACGGTGAGCTATTGTTATAATCGTACTCTCACTGAGCCACTCGCGTAGTAGAGCCAGTACTCGTGCTGCTGTCTCGCTGTCTACACTAGCTGTAGCTTCATCGAGTATAATAATAGAGCTACGCCGTAGTAGAGCCCGCGCCAGTCCAACAAGTTGGCGCTGGCCTTGGCTGAGATTTCGTCCGCTGGCCTCAACGCGAGTTTGGAGGCTCCACGCCCCTCGACTATCGGCTATGGCGGCCAACACTGCTAAACATTCGGTAACTGGGTATTGGTCTAGCGGGTCGAGATTCTCCTGTATAGTACCAGCAAAGAGTACTGGCTCCTGAGAAATAAATGTGAGGCGGGAACGTAGACATTGTGGATCAACGCTTGTAATGTCAATCCCATCGATGAAAATACGTCCATTGGTGGCTCGGACGCTAGCAAGAAGTGATAGGGCGAGCGTGCTCTTTCCAGACCCAGTGCGTCCAGTGATTGCGGTAACGGAGCCACCTTTAATCCGGAGCGAAACTTCGGACAGTGCTGGCTCGCAGTGTGGTGCGTACTGAATGCTGACGTTGTCAAATATAATCTCAGCGCCGTAGCGCGGCCAGTAAGCAGGAGGCGTAACCTTGCCACATGGCTCTTGAGATATACTAAGAAGTTCAATTACTCGCTCGACCGATACAAAATCGATTTGTATCTGGCCATATTTACGGCAGAGTGAGTGAGTTGCTGTCACGAATTTAGATGAAGCTGTGAGCACGAAAGCGGTCAGGCCGGCTGAAAGGCCAGTATACAAGGCGAGAATAATTAGGATAAAAGTAGAAAGATCCGATAAAATATCAAGTCGGTACATTAACCAAGCCTGCAAACTCCAATAGAAGTGATCCATTTTTTGGAAAGTATCCGTTACAGCGATCACTCTATCCTGAAATCGAGAAGAAGAGCCGTATGCTCGTATTGTGGTCAGGCCTTCTGTGACTGCGCCAAAGTTTGAAATAAGGGGGGTAAGCGAGACCATTTCGAGGCGTCTGAGACTCTGAGATGTAGGGAGAAATTGAAGAAATGTGACAATAAAAGCTATAGATAAGCCGATGGCAAAGAAAAGAAATATAGGAGTAACAGATGCAATTACCATTAAGGATGAAAGCCAGGTGATTGAGAGAAAAACAAAATCATGGAACTGATTACTAATGTTTCCATCGACAGTATTAATATCAGATGTTAGTCTATTCATTAGACGACCAACAGGGGTTACATCGTAAAAGCGGAAGGTTGCATGAGCCACCTTGCCCATAACCATCTCAAACAAAGTTTTGCCGGCGTTATATATGATGACAAGTATAAATCCCTGGGATACCAAATAGGCTGTTGATTGCGCAACGGCCAGAAGAAAGAAGCTTACGAGCCATGGTCGAATATCAGTAGATGGAGAGGGAAATCTTCGAAACAGACTCCCTGAGGTTATTTCAATTGGGTTCTCGTAAGCTTCGCCCCATTCTTTGAGAAACCAGGTTTTACCGATGCCAATTAACCGAAAAAGCGCCACAATCCCGATATGGATAATCCACCATTTGAGCTTTCCTGCCCGAATATACTGCCAGTATACCTTGGTTGGTACTCCACCATGAGCCCTGAATTCATCGTCCATGAAACTATGTGGCGCATTATTTGGTACAATAGAGTCATCTGAGTGGTTAACTTCATCGTGGCACACTGTCCTTGAAGTCTGGCTGGGATCTTGCTGAGCACAAGGGATCTTGTCGGGATCAAGTACAAAAGCTCGTCCTTTAGACATATAGATAATTTGTTTTGCAATTCCTGAGCAGAGTTCAGGGCGATGAGTCACTAGAATAACAGTGCGGCCTTCTAAAATTTGGCCTCCTAAACATTTTTCTACCACTGTATTGGAAGTCTGTGGATCGAGTGCAGAGATTGGATCATCTAATATGAGTACGTTCGCTCTCGAATAGATAGCTCTAGCCAAAGAGACACGTGCTTTTTGCCCTCCTGAAAGGCCAGTTCCATTCTCGCCTACCATTGATAAGTCTCCATGCTGGAAGGTTGAGAAATCGGGTGCTAAATCACAAGCTTCTATGACCTCGTTATATCGATCATTTTCGTATGCAGAAGAAAATAGTATATTTTCGCGAATACTCATACTTTGCAACCAGGGTGTCTGGCCACAATATCCAATAATCTCACTGGTAGGATAATATTCCCCACTTATAAGATCAAGTTCTCCAAGTAAAGCTTGTAACATCATTGATTTACCAGCACCGACTTCCCCGTAGATGACAGTTAAGCCTGGCTTGAACGAAGCGCTTATTTCATGCAGTACAGGCTGATTTTCACCAGGCCAGGAAAAGGATGCATTTCTTAATTGTATTTCGGAATTGTGTGTAGTTTCTGGTTTTGCCACATCTGGTTCACTAAAAAAATCATCCAACCGCCTTAGAGAGATCCTTGCATTTAGTAGTGACTGATTTAGTCAATCTATAGTCCGAAAAAAGATATGGAACTTACAGTTATTAGAGTTGGTAGATCTCTCAGGTTATTCTCCAGCATTGAAAAGAGCTGTATTGCAGGGAATGCAATATCAATTCTCAAAGGATTTTTTGTAAGAATTGTGTAAGCCGAAAATGCCACGACTGGAAATAAACCACTCGCAAAAGAATTTGTAAAACTTATCGAAAGTTTCCAGAGACTAGTTATCACCCGGAGTCTTAACTCGTGCTGCCTTGACTCCATTATTCGGTCTAGCCACACATCCTGCCAACCGCAATAGCGTAGATACTTGATAGCATCTACAAACTGATTAATTAGAGTTAGTTTTGTATCGATAGATGATTTCCGTTCCCGCTCCCAGTAAATAAGCGTGCGAGCAATTCTAGAGTTGATAGCCTGTGCAATTAAAATTGTTAAAATACCAACAAGACAGCTCGAGCCAAGCAAACGCCAAATGAGGAATGTAGAGAATATCAAGCTAAATGGTTGAGTGGTTATCGAAGAAAATTCCCAGAAGCGTTGAGCGACTTCGTATGCGTCGAAACGCATTAAGCTGATAACTTTTCCTGCCGAGGCTACCTTTTCAGCTGAATATTTTGATGCGAGACTAGGGGCTTGGAGCAGTCGAACTGGCTTCATTAAAGCTTTTTTGATTTTTCCGATAAAGGACAATTTTCTGGGACTTGAGGAGGTGCCTTCTGATACAGAGGCCCGATTAACCCCAGCACTAGATCTATACGTTACTTTTCTATTCAAAGTTTTCTCATAGAGTACTGTAATGAGTTCTCCCCTTGATCTCTCATAAGCCCGTCTACCGAACCACAAGTTAAAAACACTAGATTGGCTTGAAATTAAGCGAACAATCAGCATTAGAGATGCATATACAATGGTTGCTCGCGTAGATGTTAGAGGTTTCTCGAAATTCTGCAGTATTTTTTGTAAAAGCAATGGCGAAAGTAAATCTGTATATTCTTAGCCAGAAAATGAGATGTGTGGGAAAGAAAAATACTAGCGCATAGCTCTATCAGTCCAAGTCCGGTGATAATACATAAATCTGGCCAGTTTGCTGCTAATAATCTCTGTAGAATGGATCCCTTCATGTCCCTGAATTTTTCGAAAATTATGCGGTGCTTGAATTCGTATCCCAGGGACCAGACATCCTCATCGTTTAACTGCCTCTTACTTCCAAGGTACAATAGCGGCGAAATCCAGGATACAGACATAAATTGCCAAACCGTGATATTATCCTCCGGGCTACGGAGTTCGGCGGTAGGTTTGGAAAATGGTGGGCTGATTCCTTGACTTGACAAGCTAGGCTCTCGCATAGGCATAACAAGAATATTTACTACTGCGCCGGCAGCAAACAGTGCTGGTAGACACACAAAAACGCCACTTTTGTACAATTCTCCATCGATTAGGAGAATAGACTGCGTTACAGTCATAATTATTAATATAAAAAGCAAATCAAGCGGCGCTGCTGTATTTTTTCGGGAAGCACAGGATAGAACAATTATTGCCCATGCAGCAACTGGAGAGACCATCAACATTATCCCAAACTTTAGATAAAAGATGGTTACTAGTTGAGAGCAGAATCCGGCTACCGATAATACGGTTAGAATAATGGTCTGGCGATTTGAGTTTGTATTTGATTGACCGGCTGTTTCCTCTAACTCTTTCACAAATCGCCATCTTAACCATGTAGGAGTCGCGTGGTATCGTTGGGCCAAGTAGAGCCAGGTTTTGAAGGCCAAAATAATGATAGCAGCAACGATGGGTATAGATGATATATAAATCAGCGCACAAGCCTGAAATTTTGCATTAAATTGATCCTATCTATATATTAGTAACCCCTGATATTACAAGTGGATGAAGCAGTTCACACCCAGAATTGGCCATTTGTACATGAGATTTCCTTAAGTGAATGAAAGTTAGAGCTCCGGATTATTTGTTGCAATGAGTATTTAGACATTCTACTAGTCACCCAAAAATTTGACACTTTTTAGCTGTCAAGGTACAAATAAAGTCGAAGGAACAAGGATTGGTAAACAGAAAACTTCCAGATGCTTTCACTGCATGTTAATATGAGGCTGTTGTGCAAATGTGGATAAGTATGCAGCCAGATGACATAGTAGCCCGCGCGTCAACAACTGCACTCTGCGGCATACGAGGCACAAGCAGCTCAGTAATCAAAATGCAAGAGAACATTCTCTTCTAAAGTTGAAATAAAAATATGTGGAAGGTGTCACCTAATACACTTTGCATCCAGTGCACCAAATCTGATTACCTTCAAGTGGAATCCTCAACGGACCGCGGGTTCAATATTTCACTTGATACCGAACCGAAGTTTCTAGCACAAATTTTTTGTAGAAATTTGGAGCAAACTGTCGTCTGGCGATTCGTGTACCGAAATATAGATCAACCGCAATTTAACGATTATAAAATCAATAGATAAAATCGAGTTAACTCGCTAAATCCATGCATGATCTCGAACCTATGACAAGATTGCGTGCTAGCATCTTAAAACGGCCACGATTCAGAGTTTTAGTGAAAGCCATGTAGCAGCGCGATACATCTCGAAATATTATCAGCAATTATCCCCCATCAACAAAAGATCCCAATCAATACCAGGAAAACACAACCTTCCTCAAGAAGCGTGTGTTGTGGACATTAGAGCATAGAACTAGCTACAAGTATACAACTTCGGCCAGAAAAACACAAGCAAATCCTTCAAAAGATTTCCAATGACAAAACAGGATTTTCGTGTTTCCGGAAGACTACGTTGAGTAACGGAAAAGTGATGAGTAGCGATTATACAGCCTTAAACTAGCGTATATATGCTCAGCATTTCTAGAATAGAATAGAATTAAATTTAAGTCACTAATGAAACTATGGCTATGATGGTCTATTAAATCTATCTAAATAGCTTTAAAGATCAATGGTAAATATAAAAATTGATAGTTTTGTCTTGTTCATTTACGTGCTAGGTATAGTGACTACCGCTGCATTCCTGCTGGAGCTTCAGCACGGGTGGGGCCGGGCTGGATCGAGTTAACAACAACCTCGTGCCACCTAAATGACCGGACCACCTCAGACTTCACCCATGTGTTGAATCATGTCAAGCCCAACCGTCCAGAAACCCGCTGTATACACGCCGTAGCGCAATTTCCTCCTCAGCCTTGGCCACCACGCGCCCTAGCCCTTGACACCTTCGCCATCTGTAACTTTTTCCCTCCATTCAGCCCCAGCTTTGGTTCATCTCAGCATCTCCTCATCTCATCCAGGTGTCGTTTTCTTCACTGGAGGCCTCATCCAGTCGCCAACCAAGGCCTCATAAGTTTGTATCCCCTTTTAGTTCCTTCATACAGCATCCCTCTGTCCTTCAGCCGATCTCGTCATCCCAGAAACTTTGTAGAATGTCCACCCCTCCGGCCTTGCCCCGTCGCTGCCGTACCTCTAACCGTGGAGGTCGAAAACGCGACTGAGAGCTCAAGACCGAGGCACCGGTGCCCCAGCCTTTGTCAAATGCTCTAGTTGGTGTGCCGGCGAAATGTTGTACGTATTTCGTCGGTGGCGATTCATCGCAGGTCTAGTTGTTGGTGCCCTTGGCCGAGGTGAGGACGCATCTAAGGCCGGTATTTCGACCGTACCTTGACAGCGACTGGCAGTTGCGGAGGGTCGGACATACTCTTGCTTCTTTGTTGGCGATTTGGCTTTTGGAGGTATGGGATTGCTTTGGTAGGTGATGAGATGATTGTGGAGAGGGCCGCAAGATGAGTTTGGCTGAGAATGAATTTCCAGAGAAAGAAAATAAGATCTTGAAGGAGTCGGTTGTTGTGATACGAACATCAGATAGGTTATAGGCTGTCTGCGGTTCGCATCTGGGGTGTAGATGGTTGGTTTAATTGAGTTGTGTAGTCGTGAAATCTCTGCTAGTCGGATTTTTGTTGTGATCTAGGAATAGCTCAGAATTGTTTGTGCATACTTGCATAAACGTTATGCTATGGCGCTTAATAAGGATGTTATTGTAGACTGCTGGACAAACAGGAATAGCCGCGCTATGATTGGTGGGATTAGTATGGTGTGAACCTGCAAGGGCGATAGGAGAGTAATTTAGGTGTGGTCCGGAGTACATTGAGTCGGTAGCACACAATCATCTTCTGTCTGTACATCTTTCTATCTTTCAGCACATAATAAAGCGCGTAGCATCTTTACTAGTATCTACAATCAACTATCTACAAGCGCAGTATTTATAGACCATAGTCCATTTACATACGAGTAGCAGAGTCAGTATTGAACCCCTAGGTAACCTCATCTTATAATAATTTTCGACCAAAAATGAGCCAACACCACTCCTCACGATCGCCAACTCGACGAAAACTCTCAAATTCACTCTTTTTCGTGACTGAATCTCGGCTCTGGGAGAATATTTCACTCCCTTGTTCGTAGAGTACACCACTGACAGGTGTTCAGCCTTCGTCATCCTGAAAATTGATAATGTTAATATTTTCAGATAAATATTGAGGATCATGCCCTGATTCAGCATCTCTAGTTTGAGAATAAACAGTGTAAAATCAACTCCAGAGGACTGGTTATGAACCAATCATCAAAAAGTCTAAAAAAGCTGTTGGGCGTGATAGAGCTGTAGTTTATAATTACAACAAAATCAAGATTTGGTCCAGATAGGTGATTAAATATTGCCTCACGATGGAGAGATGACACCTGATTAAATTGAAAAGATGTTTGAGATTTAAGCTACGTTAGGTAACAATACAATAATTTGAAGATTGGCTGCACTAGCTTTATGGTTATATTTTAAGAGTCCTCATCTACGCTCAATGTATCTTTTAAAATAGAGAACTGATTGAGCCGGCCAAAATCACATCCAATCATGTACCCCACTCCATCCTTTTATGCATGATTTAAGTGCATGCAGCCATGTATCTATGACACATGAATAGTATTATTATATGTGCATGTTAGATGACTCTTCAGATTACAGAGACACCCATGCTCTGGATTTCATTCGGATGTGCCACTTCAAGGTATGCCTGCTTACACAAACAGTCGACCCTCCTCTGTCAGTGTCAATGAAATGGAAGATTCAAACTCTCTGGTTATCCAAGTATGTCCTCGTCATCCATGTACACCAATATCGCGAGCATTATGGTTGTTAAGGGTTTATTCGAATCATAGATCATCTTTCTCAAGCGAGACATTTCCAAGCTACCATGGCTCTACTATGGATACTAGCCCAAGTCATGCACCATTTCACCATCCAGCCACAGTATTCGAATTAACGTCTGCACTCTCGCAGTAGAGGTCTCGGCGCGCTCAACACTATTCAATTTATAAGACTCATCAGCTAAATTTTAAAATCTGATGCTTTTTGTGATGGGAAACGCAATTAATATTGCGGTCACGTGGAAGAGTTTACGCGCGTACGCGATTGTATTTAGTATCCCTTGTCCTTTTCCAGACCCCTTTCTTCTGTGTAGACAATCTTATTCACCAGATTAGACCTCGTCAATCTTCCTCTTGACCATCCCTTGACACTTTTGAGATCAAACCCACCGTTTGCATCAACTTGTATACTAGTCTTGACATCTCTCACGCACATTACGAAGATCTGCCTACTAGATTTGTGCACTACGAATTTTTCGTCAAAGGCCATAAATTTCGTCGTTAGCATAAGTTTTGAGACCAGCTAAGATAGAGTCGAAGGGAGACCTGATCATTGAAACCAACATAATACAGTTCATACTCGGGAGTTTACTAAGGTTTTGGTGGGAATAGATCTCGTTAGGAATGGGAGTTCAGTGTGATTAAGAGTCTTGAGTCATTATCTCACGGACCAAGTTCGTTGGTATTTCGAAACTTGATTGAAATTTTATCTACAAGAATAGTTCACTCCCAGGTTCATAGAGAACACCGCGGACAGGTGTTCATTATTTGCCATCTAACCCACATCACAATGCTTTAGTATGAGTAATTACCTGATGGGAGGCAGGTTGAAGAAGTCAGCAGTAGATACAGCACAACCCCTTACTGATGAGATCTAGTCACAAAAGCGACATAACCGGAAGACAACAACGCTTTTTCTTGATATGAAGTGAGTATATGACCATGTAGCCAAGGAACAGCTACTCGGCACAATGAAAGGCTTGGGTCTTTCTCTATCACTCTCACCTTGGACTAAATCATTCCTAAGCCAAAGAAGGATTCAATTGTGTTTTGCTGGATTTGAACCAGTGATCTACTGTCTCAAGTGGGATATCTGCCCAAACTATCCAGACTTTACTTGGCAGACCGGCCAAGACGATGTACCGCCGCACCATCCAACCATGGCGGTGTTTATAGTGTCGCCCGTACTCCCTAGCTGGGACTGTACTGCATGTCTTGCATAGTCATAGACTTAGATAGGACAATAAAATAATTTGATGACAGCTGGGACTGCAGGGTTCTCGAGAAATTTTCCAGCATACGCAGTCTCCATTGTTACCATATTACTTTTCATAGGTAGAAGGTTCCCAAGAAAAAAGGTAACAAGCGGACCTAGCTACCGGTGGTTCTGGTAGACTTCTTGGCTACCATATGACCATAACTAATTTTCGTTCCTTGAGTGAGAGAAGGAAGATCAACAAGGGCAAGGGTTTTCTCCAACTATATGACTGAATACATACTTTTTGGTTGTCGTAACTAGGCGAGTGACATGACTGCATCACAATAAACTGTTCTCATTAGAATTATTTGCACTTGCGCCATGAGATATGATTGACCTAGATCATCGCTCATCGCTCATTGGTATGACAGTGTGTTTACCAATAGATAGCCGGCAAAGACGAATTCTTCACCTTCCAGCGGTGCCGGTGAAATCGCTCAGTATGCTCTGCATATCTGGGATAGCCAAGAAGAATCGCATACGAATCGAAGTCGAAAGCAAACACATGCGCATCTCCGTTTGACGACATCTCAACCATGCAGCGCTCACCATTATCTTCTGAGTCCTCAACCTCTTTTTAACCACATATCACTTCGCCTCGACGACCGATAAAGGCATCACCCCAATCGCAAACAGGAGCTTGACTCATTGATTACCGGCCATCGCTCACTACAAACTTACGACGCTACGTATACCCGTAAGGAGGAAATTAAGTCATAATATACAAAGTTAGGGTCTTGGTTTATGGGGGATTGATGCTCTAATGGGGTTATACATCTTGAGGAGGGACAGGCGGCTGATATACGGAGCGAGAGGGGGAACAGGTCTCTGAAGACCATGCTGGGACCGATATTTTCAAGGAGTTTTTAATTTTGGAACATTTGTGGGCTCCAAGACCGAGATTCCGTCTAATTAGCCAGGACTTCTATTGTCGATGAGTCAACGGCACTCCCCAGCGTCCTGGACGGCAAAGAAGAAGTTAGGCTAAGCTACCACACAGCAATCACGCTCTGTCAAGACTTTTCTCTCATTTCAGCACGATTTTCGGGAAAGAGTTGCAAGGAGGTTAGAAAGGCAAGTGCGAATTTCCCGAGGTACCCACAAGTCTGTAGCGCCCAGCTGGCCGGCTTCCTCGAACGCTTCGGAAGGGTCACTATGTCTTCGGATTTAGTCCTAATGTCGGTATTAGGAGAGCACCGCACCCGGTGATTTTTGCGACTTTTTATTTCCAGCTACCATACACCCGCAAATAGCCATCGCTTTGTTCGCTGGAGAGGGGAGATAATGAAGAGCAAAAGGCTCCTCTAAGTGTATGATCGAGCGAGGACTTGTGAGGGGCGGTACTGTTTGAAGGGAGCTGTATGGGAGGCACAGGAGGGGATACACTACTGGCATAGGTATCTATAGCCTGTAGGTAGAGAGGACCTGCATGTCCTACATAGTCATAGACTCAGACAGAATAATAAAATGAATTAATAATAATAATAATCAAAAAACATCATCATTTGGTCAAAAGCGGCACCATGTTCCATGAACGTAATTTCATCGTTTTTAAAGTTGTTACCATCTTGGCTAGTCCTTCTTATCTGATTCCCCAATTTTTTCACGATGCGCTTCGGCATGGCGAGTTGGAGAGCTAGAAAGGTGGATTTCACGGCTGAAAACATTTTCACGGCGCCACAACCATAACCACCACCAAGGGACAGGGGAACCGCCGCAATTAAGGCTGTAGGGTCTCTTGCAACCTCTGTAGGCGTCATCATGGATACTCTAGAGACAGCAGAGCTTTATCTAAACAAAGTCAGAGACAAATTAGTGATAGCAGGCACTGGCAAATCTTCGACACCGATGGTCGAAATAGGTGAGGCATTCGATGACTTCAATGCCTACGCTACAATGTTTCAATCGAAGCTCAAAGCTTCGCGAATGGAAGAATATATGCTGGTTTTGGAGACGGCTGCTTCGGCAATACAAGGAAAGGGAGGACGTCACATATACGCCTCCGTTATCGCACCAACAGCGACTAAAGCGGCAGTCCGGATAAGAGCACAAGGAGTAGAAAATATGGAGCCGGCAGAGGTGCTAGACAAGACAACAATAAATGTTAAGGTAAATTCAGTATATAATTGATTATAATTAATTATTAAGGATGCTAGACGAGATTTCTCTATGTACAAATGCCAAGACGCAATCTAGCCTCATACAACTGACACTAAAGATTTCATGCTGATTCTTAACAATACATATCGAGGGGGCATACGCGGCAAGGAAGTTGCGGAGCAATGACACGGAGGTTTTGTGCAGTCGGTCTCCCAGCGAGACGCTGCCTTAAGTATGACGCAGCCATAGAAGTTCTGCGTCCTAAAGCAGAATTACCCGGTTGGGATCTTGGGGACATTTCTACGAGGAGGAAAAATTCCAAACCATGGTGAATAAATAAACCGAATTGTGGTGGAAACAAAAGTTCGGATCCCCAAACTAAAAATCAACAGGGTGAGATGTATCTTCGACGGAGTGGAGCACTGAGTGATGGGAAGAAACGGCCATACTCGAGAGTCAAACGTCGCGAGTTTGCCGACAGAGGCACTTAAACGTGAGTGATAAGAAATGACGTTGTAAACAACTCAATGCTACACACGGCCCAGCTCTGGTCACCTCAAGCACAAATCAAGCAGTGCTTTAACTGCTATCAATATGGGCATACTCAAGCCTCATACAATAAGGCGGAAAGATGTGGTGAGTGCCCGAGCACTCATCAGACTAGGGAATGCCAGAAGAAATCGGTACTTTGCTGCAACTGCGACAAGGACCATAAATCGTGGCAGAGGGTGACGTGTCAGAACTCCGCGGCATACAAGGCCGGCGTTCAAATGGCTAGGTATGAACTCATGGAGAGAATGGCGGAGTTCAGGAAAGGAGAAATATCAACCATGGCATCTACAACAACAACAACAACTAAGGCAAGATCTATAGACGACCAAGGCTTCATACTGGTGTCCCACAAAAAGCCGGACGTATTCAAGAGAGGGCCAGAACGCCCGCGCAAACAGCTCCTGGGCAATACCCCACCACAAGTATTTGGACCATCGGGGTCAAGTCCAAGACCACAGTCGTCCTTTTTCTGCACGCGAGGGCAAGGTAAGGATGGCGAAGTACAATGAAATGAATTAGTTCCGGAGATGTTGAAAGTTACATAATAGCCTCGAGGTTGGTTTAGAGATATGATAAATGTGTTTACTATACGAAGAAGTTTACTGATATCTAATGGATAGTTAATTGTGATTAAATTGCTATGATTTTATATGTGTGGCGAGAAGTCCCTCTATATACATGAAAGCGGGGTTTCCCGCACACTAGTGTGAACTCCAACGTACTTCCTTGTCGAACCTAAATGGGAAGGTTGTTGGAGATCCTAAAGCCAATGTATGCCGTTGGGCATCTATTTGCTAATTACTATTTATGCTAGTGAGTGATGATATGGGTTAATCATATCTGATGGCACCAGTGCATATTATTCTCATGTGTACTATTTGCCTACTACAGTCATGTTGCTGCCTTAATTACATCACAGTACAATTTTAGCTAGTCCTATATCGGACTGAAGGCCAAATGCACATCCTGTAGGTAATGAAGGCCTATAATTTTGATTTTGAATTCAATTAACCCGATCAGGTACCCTGTGGTTCCATGCAGATGACTATCTTCATTATTTAAGGAGGAAACAAATTTGGTGAAAACCCCCTGATACTGTCTGTTTATATCCCTATCATTTTGGTTAGTTTACCCTCAGGAACTGCATTGTACACTGTTCAGCCAGGGTATATTTGGTCCTCTCCCCTTCTAGATCGTTTTGTTTTATCCGGCATTGCTACCTCGACTTCCCCTGTAAGTCGAAACTGTTTTATCCATCCTTTGCTTAGTATCTACTGTGTGATTCTAGCCACATCTTCTGGGCTGTTCATCATTGCTTCAAATGACCTGTCTTTAGCTTGTCAGAGAAAGTCACCTCTTCTATTTGCCCACTGCTGATACGCCAACACCATGTGCTTGACGTTTTGCGACAGATATCCACATTGATAGCTTGGCTTTTCTACTCCGGGTACTTTTATTCTGCAAATGTAAGGATTTAACCTGATATGCTCGCTTCTTAGCTGCATGGCGAAACTGCCTGTTCTTGCATCAGTAAATATATTTACCGCCCGAATTATAATTATTAATCTAATTATGTCCTTTTTGGATTTATAACTGTGAATAATAAATAATTTAGAAATATCACATCTTTTAAATCCTAGCTTTAGTATTCCTTAATTTAATGGAAGGTTCCCTAATTATGGTTCACCAGGAGGTTCCTTTAGCCCGAAGAATAATAAAAGAATCAGGTAACCAATCAATCTGTACCGAGTATTCCGAGTAATTTTTCGAAAGATATCTTGGGTTGAATCAGTTATGAAATTTAAGTAAAATTATTAGTCAGTATTTCCTTACCGGCATAGAATTCAAACTTATCCGATTTCGAATTTGTTCTTCGTGGAATGGTCTTCGATGACCACCTGTTTTATTTGAATTAAACTTGTTATTAAGGAAATAATGACCCCTCAGCCATTGAGGTTGTAGAGCACATTGATTTAAGTAACTGCCGAAGTGAAATTAAGTACAGAATTTGTAGTCACGTGTGTATCGACAACGTGGCCTACTGTTGGGATATTGAGAAAGTATAGTGACGAGAGTAAGATAATGCAGATGGTTGTTTGTTTTGTTTGTTCATTAACGTGCTAAATGAAGTAACTACAGTCGCACTCCTACTGAAGCTTGAGCACGAGTGGGGTCGGGCCGGATCAGGTTAACTACCGTGCAGTACAAATGCCTCGTCCCACCTAAATGACCGGAACCATGCCAAAATGCATCTATGTGTTGAATCATGACGAATCCAGCAGCCCAGAATTGAAAACAAAACAAAAGAAAACTTCCACGCAAAATCCTGCATTACAAAAGAAAAACTTATACAATCTCCCTTCCGTCGTTCCACCTCAGCCACCACGCGTCCGAGCCTCGATTCTAATTACCTCTTTCCATACCAAACCACCTAGGATTTAGATATATCACGACCGATTCACAGATATCCTTACCATCCCCCGACTAGCCTCCGCGTATACTCCGCTCTCCCGGACGTAATCCCTGAACATCTGTCATCCATTTGATCCGAGCATCGTTTCCAGAGCTGGTGCCCTTCGCTTTCCGCTTTTCAGCCTCCATGTTGCCAGTGCTTTTCGACACTGGTCAAGGTGACCGATAGATTTTTCCCTCCCACACTCGCAGTTAAGTGTAGCGTCAGTGTGACTGAATCGGCGATGATATGCCGCAAATGTTGTGAGATTAAAGATCGAGAGGGATTTCGGGCTGTTGGAGAGGAAAGAAGAGTGGTATTCGAGCATAGGAGCAGGTGAACGGGGCTTTAGATGTAAAGCTGTGGAGCTGACGAGAGGAGCGATGAATATAGCCTTCAGAGATATTCAGTTAATACAACGAACTGAAGATCTCTGAAGGTAGGAGAGACTACATCTATACACAGGAATCAAACTTGGTATGACGAAAGTTGGGGAATTGATGAGGTACGTGTCAATGTCTCAACTTGACAACGTTATCCAAATGATGTTTTAGCCTTGTGTTTTAGTGAACCCCCGCGACTAAGACAAGAAACAGACGTAACTACATTAAACATGGAATCTAGTTACAAGTGAATTAAGAGTTACATGTAGTAGTGCACAGACAGAGATCCTGCATCGATACTGATGCAGAACTGTTTTATTAAAACAGCAAAGTCTCCATGTCCAGTTCGGGCAGCGATCAAGCGTGCGAAGACCGCTCTAGGTAGCGCTAGCTCTGGCGGTTTCTTGCGGCGCATCTCGAATTCAAGATCGGCGTAGTGTTTAGGGCGATTCAAGTGCCACCAGTCTATCAACATTTGCCTGACCAGTTCACGGGCTTTCCGTCCAGATGAAGCGAGGGTCATCACACCATGTATCGTCCTAGAGTTGTCCGCCGAGTTAAGCTCTCTTCGAGCGAGTTCATCGTCGATTTCATTTCCTGCCAGCCCTTCGTGGCCCGGGATCCATCCTATTTTTACAGGCGCGGCTGATCTCGCGGCCATTTTCACGAACTTTTGGATCCGCCAGGATGATGAGCCCGTTGTTCCCGTCAGTAAAGCCTGAACAGCCGCAGAATTGTCGGGTAGGAAATAAATGGCGCTGCGTCCTCGGGCTTGGTAGTTGACTGTAATTGCTTCTAGAGCAGCCAAAGCTCCATGGACCTCCGCGTTGGTAATTTTACCTGAGCCGCTTTGCTCGATTGCCGTGCCTGTGCCGCTGATAAATGTCACAAAGGCCCATGACACTCTGTCGGTTGAAGCCCCAGAACCATCACTGTAAACGCAGAGACAGTCGGGTGGGAGTGTAGGCAGCCACTCACTTATGAACTTGGCAGCCTCTTTCTTACTTGTCCAACGGGGAATTAGCTGGGGGGTACCGGAGGTCGGAGCGGTGGCGGTGACGGAAGTTCAGCCTCTGGCAGAAGTCGGTACATCCTCTGGACCCTCGAATCATGAACTCTATCCAGACCAAGTCTGCTTTTGTTGCATGTCTTTAGTCCGAATCGATGGCGAGCGCTGTCGGTGCTTTCCGTGGCCCGGAGTCGAAGCGGATGGTACTCATCTAGTCTTCGGATTCGTGCGGCAGTCTTGAGCCTGCGTTCCTCGAGCAGAATGTGTGCTGGTGGAATACCAGTCTCTCTTCTCAGGGCTGCGATGGGCATGGTGCGCTAGGTTGGTAGAGCCACGCGAATTCCTAAGGCAGAAGTTTGGTCAATAACTTTGCACTATCTCTTATATGAATTTCGCGCGACACCCCGATATGTTTCCCTGGTTGGCCCCGGGTACCAGGATTCCGCTGCGTGCATCGCGATTGGCAGGACTACCGTGCGGATCACTGTGGTTAGTAAGTCGGGTCTTGGTCCCTGAGTACACTGAGTGAGTCGCCGGAAGTGTTGCACTGGCCGCATTGCTTTGCTGGTCCACTTTGCGACGTGGCTTTCGAAATTCAGGCCACGGTCCAAGTAAACTCCGAGCCATCGGATGTTGTCGGATGCCTGAACATCACGAGAACCTACCCTTATTGTTGGAAGGTCGTATCCCCTGGATCTAGGGCCGAGGAAATAGACTGCTTCGGCCTTATCTGTGTCGAAAGGGACGGCATTTTCAGCAGCCCACCCTAGGACTGCATCGACTTCTCTCTGTACAGCTACTGCGGCTTCGTTCGGAGTTGAACCTATGCCGCGGATAGCGACATCATCTGCATAGCCGAATCTCCAACTACTGCTCCCCACGACTTCGGCCATGTAAAAGAGGAAGAGAATTGGGGATAAAGGCGATCCGTGTGGCAGCCCGCACTCTAGGTGAATTGGGTCTGTTACTCCATCCTCGTGTCTGACACGGGCAGATCGTTCTTTCAGAAAAGATTTTATCCAAGTTATGGCTATTTTCGGCCACCCAGCTTTGTTCATCCTTTGCAGCAGCCTTCCGTGGAGTACAGCATCAAATTCACCCTGTACGTCCAGAGTGACAAGGACTGCTTTCTTCTGCATTTTCATTGCATGCTCCACATCGTGGATAACGCATGAGACAAGGTCGTTAGCGGATCTGCCAGGGAGTGCTCCAAAAAGCTGCTGCGGCACGGCCTTGTGCTAAATGGCGGTAAATGCCATGCGCCTTGCAACTAGTCCCTCGAGACTTTTGCCCAGAGAGGAGAGTAGTGCAATGGGCCTCTATCCTTTAGCTGTGCTGAGATTACGGCCAGGCTTGGGGATGAGAATCACTTCGGCTAGCTTGAATGCCTTCGGGAAGTGGTTCAGTCGAAGTGAGCCCTCAAAGAGTACTCTCACTGCTTGTCCAATTGACGGCCAGGCTGTCCTAAGAAGACGAACAGAAATTTCGTCTGCTCAAGGGGCTTTATTTTGGCAGGACGTTGTGACCCACGTGGCTTCTTTATCAGTGACGCTTGAGACCCATGGAAGGTTTCCGAGCCCAGGCTCGAGCTTCTCAGCTTCGTCGTCGTTTTGACTTGCGAACCGACCGAGAAGTAGGTCGCGCAGCAGAAGTGCACGCTTTCCTGGGTCCGAAACAAAACCATCCGGAGTTTGGAGTGGTGGAGCAGCAGATGTAAGTTGCGGGGGGTTTTTTTTTTGCATCAGATTTTAATTGCGTATGCAGCTATCTAGCTATGACACAATATCAAAGAAAAGTACAGAATAGATGATTCAACGTAAAGGAAGAGCACTCATGCCTCAGATTTCATTTGCAAGTATCACTGCGAAGTTATGGTGGCTTTTTCTTCACCCCAAGTCAACCCTCATCCGTGAATACCCACTCAGGGGAACGTCTCAAAAACCCTGAGTTACCTAGACATGCCTCCATCATCCATTTACTTTTCTCCGCGCGATATGTGATCTGAGGTGTCTCTTTCCCAAGTGGAGTAGGTGCCCAGGCTACTCAAACCATACCAGAGAACATCACCTGGAGGCGGACCACCACACCTTCCATCGTCTGCTTATTTTTGTAGTGTCAGCTGCACTCTCGCAAGCGAAGTCTTGGCGCGCACAAAGCTCAATTCGTAAAACTGGTTGCCAAAATTCGGAATTTCACTCCCTTCAAGGTTATATCCTTCCTTTGCATCATCTTGTAAACTTGTCCTGATCCCTCTCACGTCCATCCCAAAGAACTGTCTCCCAGATTTGTGCGCCACGCTTTGCTTCCTCCGTCGGGTATAAATATCGGCGTGGGCGTGTATTTGGTGGTCAACTGAGACCAGAGAAGGTCGAAGAGAGGTGTGGTCATTGGGATAAGGATGTACTAGTTCGTACTTGTAGACTTGATGAGACTTAGGTAGGCGTCAAACTCGTTGGGAGCGGGAAAACGACGTGGTAGAGTAATTTTAAATTTTGCCTTGTGGGCCAACTTCTTTGATATTGCGAAATTTGACTGAACTTGGCTCTGGGAGAATATTTCACTCCCAGGTTCGTAGAGGACACCGCGTACAGATGTTCAGTCTTGCTCTCCTAAGTTGCGGTTTAGCCCAGTGTGCCATCCGATATATGTCGACGTCAGTTGTAGCTTCTGAGAACTTTCGCCGCCAGTTTTGGCGTTTCGCACTTTTGACTATGCGACGGAAATCCTTTCTGCTCTCTTCGTCCCTGAATATCCTGTATTCGCGTTTGGCCTGTGCGCACTCCATGGTCCACCAAGGTGCCGTCCTACCCTTCTTCGCACTCCCGCGTCTTCCAGTAGCCCTGATAGCATCGCTGATGGTTTGAGCCGGCTTATCCGCAAGGTTGTCCACCGCACTTGTTGAGACCATAGGCTGCATCCCTATTCCATGGGCCCACCTACCTAGTACCTCGGCGAAGTCTTTGAGGGCGTCGTCTGTCACTCGTACTGGTTGGCCAGTTTTGATAACAGCTCTAGCTTTCGAGTTCGGGCGGGGAACGTCTCCTACAAGCGTTCTGTGGTCCGATTTCGAGTCAAGCTCTATGGAAATATTTGCAAGGGC